TCCCCAATCATCTGCCCATGCTGAATGTGTTGACATTTAGTTTCTGATACCTCAAACACCAAGAACTGAAGGGTCAGGCTTGTTCAATCTGCCCACCTCCCTCATTGCCTTTTCTTCACTCTATAATATGTCAAACAACCCAGATCAGGGAGCAGGGAAGAAGGGTGACACTTCTTCCATCAGATGTATCCACTGCTCAGTACCACTCATAGCACCTCCCCTATGCCTAAGACCGTGCCTGGCACTTGGGGGAAAAAGGTAGGAAAGACATAGGCCCAGGCCTCACAGCTTCACAGCCCCAATCTCTAAGCCATATAAACAAGTGATGATAAGAAACGTGATACATGATGGCCAGGCACAGTAATTTATGCCTATAATTCCAGCACTTTGGGAGGCCAAAGTGGGTGAATTGCTTGAGCTCAGGAGTTCAAGACCGGCCTGGGCATAGCGACACCTGTCTCTACCAAAAATACAAAAATTAGCCAGGCATGGTGGTGCATGCCTGTTGTCCCAGCTACTTGGAAGGCTGATGTAGGGGGACAGCTGGAGCCAGGGAGGTCAAGACTGCAGTGAGCCATGATCGCACCACTGCACTCCAGCCTAGGTGACAGAGTGAAACACTGTCTCAAAAAAAGAAAAAATAAAAAGAAAGATAGAGAAACATGATAACATAAAATGACATATATGTGCTTAGGACATTGGGTGACCTGGGGGAGATTAAATCATTAATCTCCTGGGCACTGGGGGGCACAGGAAGGGTCACAAAGCCAGGCAGTCCATAATAAGAGCTACATAATAGATATCTCATAATTCTCAGGATCAATATGTTTGAAAGATATTAATTTGATATAAATGTAACATATGTTTACATTTCATTTTTCCAGCGTTCAACATAATTTTTATCAGGAAAGAGAAAGGCACTGGCATTTATGTAGTATGACTTTTACATGTCCTAATTCCTACCTCACTCCCTTAAGTGCTACAATGCTTCTCAAAGCTTATTTTTATTACTTTTTTGTGTGTGCTAATGCAGTTTTTGACAACTGAGGGCGCAAGGGACATCGTGGTTGGCTGTTCCTACGTCCATTCCCATCCTCCCCTTTGTGTGGCAGATGCCTTGTTTGCGTGGGAGGGACCCCAATCCCAGCTTGAGGGTGAACCAGCACAGAGATAAGTTAATTAGGGTATGTCTGTCTCCCCCTGGCCACTATGATGGGTTCATGGATAGGCAATTAACCCAGGCCAAGCCAGTCAACCAACTCCTACAAGACAGCTGAACCCAGGGAACTGCAGAAAAACAGAGATGTCATTTTTTAAATTTAGAGATAGGGTCTTGCTATGTTCCTCAGTCTGGTCTCAAACTCCTGAACTCAAGGGATCCTTCTGCCGCAGTCTCCCAAGTAGCTGGGGGACTGTAGGACTGTGCCATCACACCCAGCTGAAGCTGTAGCTTTGATGACTTCCTGAATCTCTAGAACAAACACACCTGAAGGATACTCAACTATTGGAGTTTTCAGTTCTATGAGCCAATAAAGCTGCTTTATAGTTTAAGCCAGTTTGAGTGGCAATCTAACAAATTCTAACTGATACAAAGTGAGTAACTGAAACACATTCTCTAATTTTAAAGGACTATTAACTGAGTTTTATAAATGTACAACACTCCTCTCTCTATTAACGCACACTAGCCACATATAGTGGGAAGGGCTAATGTATTTCCCATGGGATGGCCCAGGTTCGTGTGCCGCAAGACATTTGGGATACAAGGACTGAAACCAGGGGGCTCTGCTATATCCCAGCCCTGGACTCTCCTTTAAAAAGCCATACATCCTGACTTTCCCCTGCTTTCCTCTTCCTCCTTCTAAAGCCATCTAGAATTTCTTTGGTAGTTATTGCTCTAGACATCATCCTAAGCAAGTCTGCCCCTGAGAAATCCTTAGTTCTCACCCTTGAGGCATTGACTGGGCCTCTCCCATTTCTAAAGGTTAAATCAAGCAGAAGAAGTTAACAAGAGTCTGTTTTCTTGGCTTAAAGCAGGGGTGTCCAACCCCTGGGCCACAGAACAGTACTAGTCTGTGACCTGTTAGAAAACTGGCCTCACAGCAGGAGGTAAGCAGCAGGTGAGTGAGCAAAGCTTCATCTGTATTTGCAGCCACTCCCCATCATTCACATTACCACCTTAGCTCCGCCTCCTGTCAGATCAGTGCTGGCATTAGATTCTCATAGGAGCACAAACCCTACTGTGAACTACGTATGCGAGGGATCTAGGTTGCACACTCCTTATGAGAATCTAATGCCTGATCTGTCACTGTCTCCCATCACCCCCAGATGGGATGGTCTGATTGCAGGAAAACAAGCTCAGGGCTCCCACTGATTCCACATTATAGTGAGTTGTATAATTATTTCATTATATATTACAATGTAACAATAATAGAAATAAAGTACACAATAAATGTAATGCACTTGACTCATCCCAAAACCAGCCCCGCCACCCCAGTCCATGGAAATATTGTCTTCCACAAAACTGGTGCCAAAAAGATTGGGGACAACTGGCTTAAAGGATCTGGGTCCACAAGTGATTTCAAAACCATCTCTCAGTATTTTCTGACCTGCCCCCTGTCAAACTGAAATAATCAAAAGAATCAGAATCCAGTTTTAAACATTTTATTCAAGTGAAAAGTTGAGAATAGCCATTTGGGAAACACACACTCCAGAAAAATGGGATCAGTGCTCCAAAATTAAAAGTTAAGTCCTTGCTTATTTAGGCAGGAAACAAAGTTTCAGAGGGTTATAACACTTTCTGTACAAGGCTGGTTTATGAGTTACAATTTAATTAGTTATCATTTGTTTTCTTTTCCATGCGTCTCATTTTCATTTCCTTTCCAATTTAAAATAGTATAGTTAACATTTCATCTTAAAGCAATGTGATAGGCATGAAATCTTTGCGTGAGAAAGATAAAAGGAAGTGAATCTACAATGAAGTTCAACAGTGAAGAGGGAAGGCATCTTCCTTGGCCCCTGTAGACATTTACAATGTTTTCAAAACCAGAGGTAAAGAAGAAAGTTAATCTATAATCAGAGAAACAAAGGTTACAGCTGCTTAGGTTACAGCAGCCTGCTTATGTGACTTGAGTCCCATAATCACATAATCACATTCCCTTAAGGCTCAAAATATTTTAAAGTTCCAACAGCTTAGATTTTGAATTACTTATTTTCACACCCCCAAGTCTCACAAACATGAGCCCAACAGGGAAGACTGCAGGAGAGCACTGCAGAGGATGCAGCCCTGGTTGTAGTCCGTTTTGCCCTTTGTTGCCCTCAGGGTCATCTTCTCCCTCATCCTCAACCTCCAGTCCAGCTTTCTCTGGAGTGTGACTCAGATCTGCCTTTCCATCCTGGATCTTGCCATGCCTGAGCCTTCATCACCTTAGACCCTCTGCACCTCTCCTACTACACACACCACAGCCTGGACAGTGTTCCATGCAGGTCATCTTCATCCCATGCCTGCTCAAGAGCTCACCATGGCCCCTCAGAGGAACCAGGGCCCTTATCTTGATCTTCAAGGCTGTCCTCAAAGGCCTGTTCTGTCCCCAGTCCCCACAGCTCCTCCTCATTTTTGACTCCTTTCCAGCACAGACACATGACCAGCAGGTGGTTGACTATCCCAGCCCAGGACCAGCCTGCTCCTATCAGTCCCTGACAACGAAGTGTCCTTGTGAAGGCACCCTGTGAATCGAAGCCCCCTCCCTCTTCCCCAACCTTAGAACAGCTTCTCCTCCCAGAGGTCTCTCTGTGAAGTTAACTTTTTATTACTTTATCTCTTTGTCCTCCATCTTCTTCAGAGGAGCATATAAGCCCCATGAGGGCAGAAGCCTCATCTCACTGAATCCCAGCACTTGGAACCATGCCTGGAACATGGTAGGTGCATTTACATTTGTTGCTAGTCATTAGGAAGACAGATCCCACATGAACCCCTTTGGTTCGTTCATTTCCTAAATCCTCTCCAACACTGGTCAGTGTTGGGTTTTCCGGTCTCTGTCAGTGAGCAGTGAGCTGTTCATCCCTGCCTCATTTCTGTATTCTGCTGGATAAAACTTTCTTATTAGACATTGGTTTTCTCCCCCAACACCACTGACCTGAACACAAACTGATTTCTTTTTAATTTAATTAATTAATTAATTAATTTTGTGAGACAGTCTTGCTTTGTTGCCCAGGCTGGAGTGCAGTGGCACGATCTTGGCTCACTGCAACCTTCGCCTCCCAGGTTCAAGCGATTCTCCTGCCTCTGCCTCCCTAGTAGCTGGGATTACCAGCATGTGCCACCATGCCCAGCTAATGTTTGTATTTTTAGTAGAGACGGGGTTTCACCATGTTGGCCAGGCTGGTCTCAAACTCCTGACTTCAGGTGATCTTCCCACCTCAGCCTCCCAAGGTGCTGGGATTACAGGTGTGAGCCACTGCACCCGGCCTCAGACTGATTTCTTAATAACAAAAAGTACCTTTTCCTTTCTGTCTGTGAGTTTGCTTCCACGATCTGAGAAGCAGCATTGTGTTTTCCCGTAAGAGGAAATTTACCTTGCAAATAACCAAGAGGCTTCTAAAATCCTCCTGAAGTTATTTCCTTTGGAAGAAGTCTGTGGTAGCCAGTATCATGACAGAATTAGTGATTCCCTATCTGTCAGCTTACACACTTGCCTTTGCCACTGTCTTCCCAAGACAGTTCCCTCCTCAGCCTCTGCTCACTTTAAGTCCAGCGTCCAGATCCCCTCCTTGCTGGTGCCTTCCTGATTTACACCCCTCATCGTCCTGTTTATCTCAGCTCAAAGGGCTCTGTCTGCACTTTGCACATTCTCCCTACAGATTTCCAGTTTATGACCATAGCCTCAGTGGGTCCCCAGCTGAGTTCCTGCAGTCTTCACTTTTTGTCCAAAGTCTCCTCACCTCTAGCCTCTCTGTTCCGGTGCCCACCCCCATCCCCAGGACGCGATGCCCCCGCGGGTTACCTGTAACTGGTGCAGCTGCAGGGCATAGCCTTGAACAAACAGCTGAAATAAGAAGCGCAGCTGCCCTAGACGTGGAATCTCCTTTAAGCTCCGTTGCCGCCGCCGGATACCAGGCCCGGCTCCGGGAGCCTCGGTGGCCTTGTCCGAGGGGAGGGCGGTAGGGATCGTGGCCTTGGCTCTGGCCCCGTGGGGGC